AGATGTGATACACACACACACACACACACACAGGAATATTATACAGCCAAAAAGAGAATGAAATCCTGCCATTTGTGACAATATGAACAGACCTAAAGGGTATTATGCTAAGTGAGATAAGTCAGACAGAGAAGGACACTTACCATACGATTTCACTCATATGGGTAATCTAAAAAACATGCAAAAACAGAAATGGAATCATAAACACAGAGAACAAACTGGTGGCTGCCAGAAGGTAGAGGGGTTATGGTTTAGGCAAAGTAAGTCAAGGGGATTAAGAGGTACAAGCTTCCAGTTATAAAAAAAATAAGACATGGGGATGAAAAGTACAGCATAGGAAATGTAGTCCATAATACTGTAGTAACTTTGCATGGTGACAGATTGTAATAGCAACAATAAAAAAAGATAATTACACAGGAGCATCCCCCACATGAATGGCCCAAATGTAAATAAAAAAGGAAATCAGGTAAGTTTAACAGAGATTAGTGTGACTACAAACAGAATGTTTCCAGAAATGCTAAGCAAACACAGCAAAGGAAACAGTTAACAAAACTAAAAGACAACCAACAGAATGGGAGAAGATATTTGCAAATTACATATCAGATAAAGGACCAGCATCCAAAATCTATAAAGAACTTATCAAACTCAACACCCGAAGGGCAAATAATCCAATCAAGAAATGGGCAGAGAACACAGACATTTCTCCAAAGAAGACATCCAAATGGCCAATAGACACATGAAAAAGTGCTCAACACTGCTCAGCATCAGGGAAATCCAAATCAAAACCTCATAACAAGTCAGGAAACGACAGATCTTAAAGGGTCTATCCAACAAGAAGATCTAACAATTGTAAATACCGATGCCCCTAACATGGCAGCAGCCAATTATATAAGCCAATTAATAACAAAAGCAAAGAAACACATTGACAACAATACAGTAATAGTGGGGGATTTTAACACCCCCACAGATCATCTAAGCAAAAGATCAACAAGGAAATAAAGACGTTAAATGACACACTGGACCAAATGGACCTCACAGATATATTCAGAACATTCCATCTCAAAGCAACAGAATACACATTCTTCTCTAGTGCCCATGGAACATTCTCCAGAATAGATCACATCCTAGGTCACAAATCAGGTCTCAACTAGTACCAAAAGACTGGTTTCATTCCCTGCCTATTTTCAGACCACAATGCTCTGAAACTAGAACTCAATCACAAGAGGAAAGTAGGAAAGAACTCAAATACATGGAGGCTAAAAAGCATCCTACTAAAGAATGAATGGGTCAACCAGGAAATTAAAGAGGAATTAAAAAAATTCATGGAAACCAGTGAAGATGAAAACACAACTGTTCAGAATCTTTGGGATGCAGCAAAGGCAGTCCTAGGAGGAAAGTATATAGCAATACAAGCCTTCCTCAAGAAACAAGAAAGGTCTCAAATACACAACCTAACCCTACACTTAAAGGAGCTGGAGAAAGAACAGCAAATAAAGCCTAAACCCAGCAGGAGAAGAGAAATAATAAAGATCAGAGCAGAAATCAATGAAATAGAAACCAAAAGAACAATAGAACAGATCAACAAAACTAGGAGCTGGTTCTTGAAAGAATTAATAAGATTGATAAACCCCTGGCCAGACTTATGAAAAAGAAAAAAAGAAAGGACCCAAATAAATAAAATCATGAATGAAAGAGGAGAGATCACAACCAACACCAAAGAAATACAAACAATTATAGGAACATATTATGAGCAACTATGTGCCAGCAAATTAGATAATCTGGAAGAAATGGATGCATTCCTAGAGATGTATCAACTACCAAAACTGAACCAGGAAGAAATAGAAAACCTGAACAGACCCATAACCACTAAGGAAATTGAAGCAGTCATCGAAAATCTCCCAACAAACAAGAGCCCAGGGCCAGATGGCTTCCCCGGGGAAGTCTACCAAACATTTCAAGAAGAATTAATACCTATTCTTCTGAAACTGTTCCAAAAACTAGAAATGGAAGGAAAACTTCCAAACTTATTTTATGAGGCCACCATTACCTTGATCCCAAAATCAGACAAAGATGCCATCGAAAAGGAGAATTACAGACAATATCCCTGATGAACATGGATGCAAATATTCTCACCAAAATACTAGCCAGTAGGATCCAACAGTACATTAAAATGATTATTCACCACGACCAAGTGGGATTTATCCCTGGGCTGCAAGCTTGGTTCAACATCCACAGATCAATCAGTGTGATACAATACATTAATAAAAGAAAGAACAAGAACCATAGGATCGTCTCAGTAGATGCAGAAAAAGCATTTGAAAAAGTACAGCATCCTTTCTTGATTAAAACTCCTCAGAGTGTAGGGATAGAGGGTACATACCTCAACATCATAAAAGCCATCTATGAAAAACCCACAGCGAATATCATTCTCAATGGGGAAAAACTGAGAGCTTTCCCCCTAAGGTCAGGAACATGGCAGCAATGTCCACTATCACCACTGCTATTCAACATAGTACTAGAAGTCCTAGCCACAGCAATCAGACAACTAAAAGAAATAAAAGGCATCCGCATCCACAAAGAAGAAGTAAAGCTCTCACTCTTTGCAGATGATATGATACTTTAAGTGGAAAACCCAAAAGACTCCACCCCAAAACTGCTAGAACTCATACAGGAATTCAGTCAAGTGGCAGGATATAAAATCAATGCACAGAAATCAGTGGCATTCCTATACACCAACAGGACAGAAGACAGAGAAATTAAGGAGTCGATCCCATTTACAATGGCACCCAGAACCATAAGATACCTAGGAATAAATCTAACCAAAGAGGCAAATAATCTGTATTCAGAAAACTATAAAAGAAATTGAGGAAGACACAAAGAAATGGAAAAACATTCCATGTTCATGGGCTGGAAGAACAAATATTATGAAGATATCAATGCTACCTAGAGCAATCTACACATTTAATGCAATCCCCATCAAAATACCATCCACTTTTTTCAAAGAAATGGAACAAATAATCCTAAAATTTGTATGGAACCAGAAAAGACCCCGAATAGCCAGAGGGATGTTGAAAAAGAAAAGCAAAGCTGGTGGCATCACAATTCTGGACTTCAAGTTCTATTACAAAGCTGTCATCATCAAGACAGTATGGTACTGGCACAAAAACAGACACATAGATCAATGGAACGGAATAGAGAGTCCAGAAATGGACCCTCAATTCTATGGTCAGCTCATCTTCAACAAAGCAGGAAAGAATGTCCAATGGAAAAAAGACAGTCTCCTCAACAAATGGTGCTGGGAAAATCTGACAGCCACAGGCAAAAGAATGAAACTGGACCATTTCCTTACACCATACACAAAAAGAAACTCAAAATGGATAAAAGAACTAAATGTGAGACAGGAAGCAACCAAAATCCTAGGAGAAGAACATAGGCAGCAACCACTGTGACCTTGGCCTCAGTAACTTCTTGCTAGACACGTCCCCAGAGGCAAGGGAAACAAAAGCAAAAATGAACTATTGGGACTTCATCAGGATAAAAAGCTTTTGCACAGCAAAGGAAACAGTCAACAAAACCAGAAGACAACCTACAGAATGTGAGAAAATATTTGCAAATGCCTTATCCGATAAAGGGCTAGTATCCAAAATCCATAAAGAACTTACCAAACTCAACATCTGAATAACAAATAATCTAGTTAAGAAATGGGCAGAAGACATGAACAGACATTTTTCCAAAGAAGACATCCAAATGGCCAACAGACACATGAAAAAGTGCTCAATATCGATCGGCATCAGGGAAATACACATCAGAATCTCAACGAGATACCACCTCACACCAGTCAGAATAGCTAAAATTAGCAAGTCAGGAAACGACAGATGTTGGCAAGGATGCGGAGAAAGGGGAACCCTCCTACACTGTTGGTGGGAATGCAAGCTGGTACAGCCACTCTGGAAGATAGTATGGAGGTTCCTCAAAAAGTTGAAAATAGAGTTACCCTATAACCCAGCAATTGCCCTACTGGGTATTTACCCCAAAGATACAAATGTAGTGATCCGAAGGGGCACTTGCACCCCTATGTTTATAGCAGCAATGTCCACAGTAGCCAAACTGTGGAAAGACCCAAGATGTCCATCAACAGATGAATGGGTAAAGAAGATGTGGTATATATATACAATGGAATATTATGCAAACATCAAAAAATGAAATCTTGCCATTTGCAATGACGTGGATGGAACTAGAGGGTATTATGCTAAGCGAAATAAGTCAATCCTGTAAAGACATGTATCATATGATCTCACCGAAATGAGGAATTCTTAATCTCAGGAAACAAACTGAGGGTTTGTTTAGACATTGGGGAGGGTATGTGCTATGGTGAGCACTGTGAATTGTGTAAGACTGATGAATCATAGACCTGTACCTCTGAAACAAATAATACATTATATTTTTTAAAAATAAAAGAAGATAGTAGGAAGGGAAAAACGAAAGGGGGAGGAAATCGGAAGGGGAGATGAACTATGAGAGACTGTGGACTCTGAAAAACAAACTGAGGGTTCAGGGCGGGGGATGGGTTAGCCTGGTGATGGGTATTAAAGAGGGCTCGTGTTATATGCAAACAATGAATCATGGAACACTACATCAATCAATCAATCAATCAATAGGAAAAAAAACAAACTGACGGTTGCTGGAGGGGGGTGGGGTGGGGGGATGGGTGACTGGGTGATGGACATTGGGGAGGGTATGTGTTGTGGTGAGTGCGGGGTGTTATGTAAGACTGAATGAATCACAGACCTGTACCCCTGAAACAAATAATACATTATATGTTAATTTAAAAAAAATGCTAGGCATTATGCTTTGTTTAGCAACATAATACAAGCAACTATGTTATTGATGATAGAGTCATGGTAAGATTCTAGAGAACTTTGCTTCATCTGTCAAGCTCTCTTTATACTTTCGAAACTGCATTTCTTCCCTGGCACACTGAGTTTGTGGAAATAACTCACAGCAGCGGGATTCATCTTCATTAAAGTGACAGTCGGGCACTCCATCACATAGCAGGAGGGATGGGATACACTCGTTGCTCGAGCACTGGAACTCCATTTTACCACAGCGGTGAGGAGGGGGGCTGAGAGAACAATCCATTTCATCAGAGCCGTCTATGCAATCTTCCTGTCCATTACATTTCCCCGAGAGAGGGACACACTGGCGTGTGTAGATACAAGAAAACTGATAGGCTTCACAGGGTGATGGCTGAGGTGCCACAGGACCTAAACAGAAAGCAAGTTGTTTTCATATTAGGAGAATTATCGCTCTGTCCAGTGTTGAAACATTATAGGATACATTTACTCCCGGGTAAATATGAAACATTATGGTAATTTAAGTAAATTAATCTACAGTTAGGAATGATCGGAGCTCTACAAACATCCAGATGCTATTAGAGACTATGGCTCATCTTAACCTCAGAAACAACATTCTAAAAAAAACGACAATTTCAAATTAAAGGAGAAATTTTGGTTCATCTGTCTTAAATTTGACCACTAAATCAGATTTTCCTTGAGAGTAAAGATATTTTACACAGTAAGTTAAGCACTTTGGAAAGCTGCGTTCGCAGTTTTAGAATTTTGTGAAGGGAATTGTCATTCTACCAGTGGGTAGTTGATAAACATTTTGTGGTCTCCATTTGGGAAATTTGGCTCCTGAGACCCTGGTCAGGGCTGAGTCACAGAGGCAGACATCTGCCATGGGTTTGTCACACTGCTCGTTGCCCTTGGCTCTTGATGACAGCTCAAAGGTCACAAGCTGCAGTATCTAAAGCGCCAGTGAAATCATAATGGATGGCAAGATACTGTACTAGCAGGAATCTTGAAGATAATGTAGTTCAAATCCAACCGACTTATTTTTCAAATGAGGCCCATAAATTTTGAGTGTCCAAGACACAATACTAGTTTAATAAATTTTTAGCACATGAAACTATTCCACAACAATGGTTTAAATCAGCTCTAAGCCAAAACCTAAAGCATAAGCAAAGACTGTTGACTTGTTTCAATTTCCAGAGGTCAGAAATATATGAGAATATACATAATTGCACTAATTTGCTGGAATCGTCCTTACACCTCATATTATCTCTTTGAGAGTTGTTGATGGACTCATCAGTATATTAAGGGAAAAAAAATAGTCAGATAATAGTGGGGACCAGTTCAGCAATAGTTTTGGGTTCTTCACATTTTAAAACAACTTTTATTCATAAATTATTTAAATTACATATAAGATTATATATTATATCTTATATAGAGGATATATGATATAATTATGATTATATAATTATATATGATATAGATTATATATTATATGTAAGATTATATAAGAATAATTATAATGTAATTAATTATATAGTTATATAAAAATAATTTGTTTTAGGCATTAGGATGATGATGTGAATTTATTTAAAAAAATGAAATTTGAAAGTTCCTCTTCCTCTCGACTCACTCAGTAGTGGCACCATATCCAGGATATATTTAGATTCAAACTCTGTGGTGAAAGCCATATATTTGAAACATTCCATGTTTCATGGAAACAAGCATACTGAACTGGGGTAAATGCATGACTCTGAGACCCTGCTACCATGTTCTTACCTAACGACTGACAGGTCAGAGCGGCATATAGAGTTGTAGTGCTCCAACATACACCTCAGAAACTCAAACTTAGAAAGTAAATTGGATTTAAGTTTTTATACCTTTACACACACACACACACACACATCCATTAGAATAATCCCACATTTAAGGAAAGGCAGACATTCTTAATTTGATTTTTTTCTAAAATATTTTATGCACTGAATTTAATATCTTTATGAGCTGAAAAAGAAATGAAGGAATTAATTTTCCATATTCCAAGACAAGCACAAATTCCTTATGCTTCTCTCCTGTTCGGAATGGTGTGTGTGCGTGTGTGTGTGTATTCCTTTTCATTTGGAGGTAGGGATTCCATTATTTCAGAATTCTTTACAGCAAAAGGTACTCAGAACTCACTTGTTCTAGGTCCTTCTTTACAAGGAAGTTGGGGGGTTTGTGCTGCCTTCTGTGGTGTCTGTCTTGGGCTGCCCAGGTTCCTCCACCCAGATCAAGGTGATCTATCCCACAGCTGCCGGGAGGTTTTCAGACAGCTCACAGCCCCAGTCCCGGGAACTTCCCTCTAAAGTTACACACCCTCCCGGGAACAGCTCCCTGGTGCACTGGGCATACAATGGCCTGGCCCCTATGCCTCAGTTAGGGGCATCCCTGAAAGGGCCAGTGTGATTTCAGAGCCCCCGTGACATCGGCCGAGGCCCCTACTGCTCCTGCATTGCCCCCTACCGTCCCTCTGCCCAGTCGCCCTCCCTTTGCTCCACAGGCTTGTTGCTGGGAGAATTTCCAGTCAGCTTGCTGCACAGGAATCTCTGCCTCAGGGTCCACTTCCCTGGGAACCAGACCGAAGATACTCTCTAACCACCAAAATGTATCTTGTTTTACTGAATTTCTCTGAATCACTTCTTAAATTTTTCACTAAAGTATTTCTGATGCAAGAGGAACATGAACTTGCATCCCTAGGGGAGTCTAAATAGGATCTTAGCCAGAAGCAGTTCTCCATACGCTCAGCATTTCTCTTAAGTCTCTTGTTTTATCTAACGAAAATTCTGTATTCTACTCCAGAATATATCCGTGTTTTTTTTTTTTTAATATAAAAAAAAAACTTCCTCCAGGTATTCAAATGAAATGAGTACTCTGGGAAGACATGGCATATTTATCTTCTGAATTCAATGCGTTCTGCTGCACAATCCTTTTAAGAAGTTAAGAAAGTGTTCTTAAAATGTTAATAAACGTTATTTATTCTTGGGTCTCACCCGTGGAGTCAGCTAATCATTACAGGTGATATCTTTCTCATATAATTCTGTAAAAAATGAAATTAAGTATTAATTTTTCTTTTTTATAACCAGAAGATTCTCAGCACCATCTTAAATACATATTACTAAATGGAAAAAAAAAAAAAAAGTCAGTCTGAAAAGACTACATAGTGCCAGATTCTAACTATATGATATTCTGGAAAATGCCAAACTGTGGAGACAGTAAAATGCTCAGTGGTTGCCAGGGGTTGCGGGGGAAGAAGAGATAAAGGAGTGGAGCACAGGGGATTTTTAGAGCAGGGAAATTCTTCTGTATGACAGTATAATGGTGGGTACATGTCATGCCAAAGACTACATGTTTGTGTCCCCCCAATTTCATATGCGGAAAATGTGATGATATCTGGAGGTGGGGCCTTCCCGAGGTGATCAGCTCATGAGGGTAGAGCCCTCATGAACATAACTCTTGCTCCTTCCACCTTGTGAGGACACAGCAAGAAAGCATCATCTAAGAGAAAGCAGCAGTAATATACCTCCGAATCTGTATTCTAGCCTGTAACTCATACTTGGTGTTTTTCTTCTGAAATTTCTATGTTCTAGTTTCTCCAAATCCCTTCTAAAATTCAACATTTAAAGTACACAATTCTGGGGCGCCTGGGTGGCTCAGTTGTTAAGTGTCTGCCTTCAGCTCAGGTCATGATCCCAGGGTCCTGGGATCGAGCCCCACATCGAGCCCCCTGCTCCGCGGGAAGCCTGCTTCTCCCTCTCGCACTCCCCCTGCTTGTGTTCCCTCTCTCGCTGTGTCTCTCTCTGTCACATAAATAAATAAAATCTTTTAAAAAAAATAAAGTACACAATTCTTTCAGGGTGCCTAGGTGGCTCAGTTGGTTACAGTCCAATGCTTGATTTCAGCTCAGGTCATGATCTCAGGGTCGTGGGATCGAGCCCCGTGTCGGGCTCCACACCCAGCGCTGAGTCTACTTGTCCCTCTCCCTCTGCTCCTCTCCCTGCATGCACTCTCTCTAATAAATAAAATCTTTAAAAAAAAAATAAAGTACACAATACTTTGATAAATGTAGTGTGCATAGGTCAAGCACATTGACCCGTTACTTACCAGGCCCAGTGAGCTACTTAGTCAGGTTGTTTAACACCAGTGGAACTAAAATGCAAGGTCAGTGAACACATAAGGGTAACAGTGCCAGATCAGCCCCAACCCTAGCATGCTTTGTTGGAAATGCACGCTGTTGTTCACTATATGAGGGGGTCCCTTTGTGGAAGAGCATAACGTGATCAGAGCAAAACTAAGACCAACTCCAGGAAAGTGAGCTGAAATAGCACATTCAGGGCAAACAGCGTCCTTTCCATATACCCCTAGGGGTACCATCAGAATAGAAAAAGTGAAAGAAAGTGAGAGAGAGAGGGGATTGCTCACATGGTGGAGACCGTGACAGAGGGAGAGACAAGCACTCCCAAGAAAATGGTGGACTCATTTTGACAATATGATTCACTGTTGAACTTAAAGGTCCTTCTTCTTGTTTTTAAGTCACCCTTTCTCAGGCTGTATCTGATGGGAGGTATTGCATGGACCTGAGGCTGGGGCAGGAAGAAGCCAGAGGCCGGTGTGAAAGCTTAGTGCATGTGCGCACATGCGCACACACACACTAATATACTATCTCATATCAGCTGTGGGGGAAGGTGTCTCAAACGAATTACAAGTCTAACGTGTGCTGGGATCACTAATGAAGTGTATCTCATGTTGCACTTTGCAATTGATTTACTCTCTGTATATTAGAGCTGATTCCAGGCTGTATCAAGAGTAAAGCTACACTGACTCACTATATCCCACCAAGGATGCTTTCTCCAGGGGAGAAGAAGTGTGGATGTGCAGCCAGCAGCATCATAAAGTGTTCCTAAGTCACTGCTCTCTTGTCCGCATCGCATGAGGTGTGTGATAAGCACATGAGCATTCGCTTTTGTGTGTTTTGGCAAAAACAGGTTAAGAAATGTTGCTTTAGAGTATAGGGGATTTGTGTGCAAGTTTGTTTTAAGAAGAGTGATTCTGAAACCAGCGGAAAATCCCACAATGGAAGCTATACTAGCACCATCCAGAAAGAGTAGCTCCATCACTGTGACCACCTATTTGCCACATCTTTCCTCAATTTTTGCTCAGAGTTGTGATTTCACATTGAGTTTAGACAATCCAAGTCAGAGGTCGAGAAGTTTCAACCTTCGTTTGAAAATACAGTGACACCTTAATGTCCAAAAAGTTAATGGCATGAGGTGTGTGCTCAATAAGTATTTCTTAAACTGATGGATAATAAATCAATGGTTTAAATAGTTTTACTTTCGGGGCACCTGGGTGGCTCAGTTGGTTAGGCGACTGCCTTTGGC